CGACATACGCACTTCACCTTCTAGATTATAATTATTCTTTTAATGACAAATTTAAAATTCTTCACATTCAAAATAAAGGTCTTAAGCTATCTTTGTTAGAATCTATGGAAATAACAAATTAAAAAACACAGATATAATTTGAATGACCAACTTGAGACAAATAGTTCTCCCCTCCTCAACCTATTTCATTAGAGACTATAAATTTGTAAACCCAAGCCAAAAATAGATCACTTGATAAAGACAATCAGCCGAAACAGCTGTAGTGATAAGATTTAAAATAAATTTTGTGGAAGTTTGAAAACAAAGTTTTCAGTGTTTTATTGTTACATAAAATAAATTTCCATCAAGTAACGGTCGAATCCATCAATCTCTTATTATTTTATCCATCAACCTTTGTAGTCATTCTTACATCTGCCAATATCATATTTTAATACAACTACTGTTTATACCACAGCCTTTATCAATACGTTCTACAAGTATATATTGAACAGCAAAGAGGCAGAACGCAACCCTGTCGCTTTCCGTTTGTATTTTTGCTGTTTTTACCTTTCTATATTTCTCAAATTGTAAAGGGCTTTTGTTGTTGTTTCCCTTAGATGACTTTATTGTTAGAAAACAAAAAATCAAAAGGAGTCTGTTGATCATAATCTTTCACACTGATCAGGCTAGTTGGAGTATTGACAGGAATTACAGTTCCTTAATTACTTAAAGACAAATCAAGCTAGATGCACAAGAAGAGCAAAGGAGGAACACCGGACCCTAACAGTGCAAGAAAAAAGATTACATAGAAGAAAAAAAGGCAATTTGAAGAAAAGCAGTTAAAAAAACATAGAATGGCTAAGAAATCAAAACGAAACTCTGAAGTTCTACAGAAATGTAAACAAAATGGGAGCTATAAGAATGGAGAGGAAGTATCCTAAGTGGTACGGCCTCAATCTTGAACTGACGGGTTGAATTTTTCGACGCAAAAATTTAACGGCTATACCTAATATCGAAGAAGCAGATCGAAATTATTAGAATCTATTCTACCCAAACGAAAGATCACCTACTGACCACTGAATTACCTAGTTTATCTTACTTTTATTATTTGTTTCTTTTTACTTTTTTTTTTTAATTTGTGGTATGAATCCAAGGTTTTCTTTTACGATTCATATTACGTTCTCTTCTTTAGCTACTGCATATTCAATATACCAAATACCGAACTATTTTGCTGTGCTGCTACTCGATATCATTACTTCAAAAACTATCGTACAACACGTGTCTACACCTACACACCTACAAATATTAGCGACAAGGTTTAGTCCATGCAGATGTTGGATATGCAGGGTCGCACTTGCAGAAAAACTTGTCCATTTAACATAATTTTAAAAAATTCGTTCGTTATTTTGAATAACTACGCCTACAGAATTGTCTGCACAAAACATTTCTTGACAAGTAAACACATATTAAAACTAATCACACTCGGCTAAAATAAAAGAGATATATCTGGAACATTAATATATCAAGACAATGAGTATTGTCAGCTAAAAAGTAGAAGTTTGTGACATATGTTTAGACTACCTGGAATAATGTAATTTTTAAGTGAATATCTAACTATTAAGTATAGATACTTCGTATGTGCGTACATTTTTGGCATTATTTAGCCCATTTATAGGTAGCTTTTCATAAATGTACGATAAAGTTTTAAAAATGGGGAAAATAAAAACCAATGAAACAAAAGACCGTTATTATAATAAATACAGCATATGCAGTTAAAAATAGTGCTCATTACAATATTCCATTAAATTAGACGCCTACATTAATCCCCCAATTGAAGACTTTCATTTGACACATATCTTAATCTTGAGTGACGATTATATATTTAGTACAGTATAATAATTTGAAGGTGAGTTAAAATTAACTACTATGTATGTAAAAAAAAAACAAAAAGCGAATGTACGCACATAACGAACTATATATTTCTTGCCCTCCAAATATAAGGGTATTCTCTAAACTTAAGACATTTTATCTATATCTCCTGCCAATATTTTGTACAGATTTGTTGCACATCTTGCTCTATATTTTATAAATTATATGTAACTCTAAAATCCTGTGAAATAAAGTCTTCAAATGTAACTATGTAGTTGTTATTTAATCATCTAAGTAGTAAAGATGCTAGAGATTTAGAGTCTCCCAACTATGTAACGATATAATATGCCTACCACATTGGGTATCACTTATAGGGGGTTGAAAGACTGAGCTGACTATCACTGAGCAATTACTGGGCTGTAGATAGGGTAAGCAAACACACCGAAACGTTTGCGAATGGCCACTCTTGATTTGGTTGGAGAGCTAGGTCGCAAGTAAGTGAATAAAGGAAGGACTGGGATGGGTAACTACAAAGAAAGGAATCAAGAAAATATTTACATAGATGTCTTGGGCAACAAAACAAAAGAAGGTTTCTAAACTATTTGAATTTCGACGTTGTTTAAAAGAATCCTCTTGCTGGATGGAAAGAAAGACTTTTCTCTCCTAAAAATATTAAAGGGTGAAAATCTTTTTACGAGAAATTGTTCTACAACTCCTGGTTTAGAGAGAAACATTACATATTTATTATTATTTCACAACAACAGTTATTACAAATAATATTAACAAAACTTATCAACTAAACTTACACTGGCGCTATTTGTAACGATCTACAACAAGCTCCAGACGTTGGGGACACTTATAGGAATTTAAATTATTATTACAAATGAAAATTATCTAAATTTTTCAACGGAGCTCAGTCGAAGAAATCAGTCGAATTATTTCATTAGATTGTCGAAGCAGTGAACACGTTTGTTGTGAGCAATATGGAAAGCAAGAGCAGTCAAAGTAAAAGATGCCCAAAGTTTTCGATCTCAGAAAAAAACTATTATAAACAACGTGTATTGTGGACTACGTGAAAGGAATAAAAGTATGTTGATCAATGATATACTTACTCTGTGTAGTAATTTGACTAAATTCCATTTTTTGTTGATTAGGAATCCAATACCGCCTGGTGATGTGACTCCGTAGTAGAATGTGTTTCCTGACGCTGATTCCAATAGCTCTTTCCGTCTTACTTCGCTGATTCCTATTACGTCCAATTTTATATTTTCTGTTTCTTTTTCCAGTTCTACAAGTCTGGAGTGATCTGATAGCGAGCGACAATTATATGTTGCTATATATAACGTTGTTGTTTTATTTGGGTAGCGGTTTAGACTCCACAGATTCTTAGCACCCTTTGCCTTCTGACTTAATCCCGAAAGCTATCAATTTCGGGGCCATTTGGGCTTACGGAGAATGAGGGCCATGATTTGAATGACTCGTTCATGTTAGGGGTTGTGAGGCGTACCTTACCAATGACCCAACGGCACACATAAAAATTACACACAGGAGTATCTTGATTAAAAAGGCGATTGGCTCATAGAGGTATTGACAGAAACTATGGTTGGCATATAACGTGTTAAAGATTCGTCAAATACAATACTTACCAGAAAAGCCATGGTATGTAGGTAATTTAGAACTAAACAAGGACAGTATTAGACTTTGTCCTTCTGTTATTTTTCTGATTTCTTTGAAGTTTTTTATTCATAACCATTATATTGTTTTTGGATGATAGCTGCATTTTCATTAACACTTTTGCAAGTGATGTACATTTCTCTAAATCTAGAATCTATAGTATATAAACTCCAAAACCACCAATTTTAGGTAGGTTAGAGTTGGTGAACAATTGCTCTGCAGTTGCAGATAGTGTGTTCGGCCTTTTCTTCTGCATTTTCGCAGAATCTACATTTAGTTTTGTACACTTAACTCATGTTACAGAGATGATATCTGAGTGAGTAATGATAAGCGAGAGCCCCTGGAATTACTCTGTTTAGTTTTCTGAAGCATCACAAGTATTTTTGCTTAGTGAGAAGGTTACAATAACCTCTTTGCTTGCCTTTTATCTGGAATATTTTTCTAGTAGGCTACACTAAGTTCATTTTCCCCTTTTATTTTAAACTCCTTTTCTTATTTTCAAACATCCTCGACTATGCGGATTTTGGGGTGCAATGCAGTGGTTTTGCAAGTGTTACTTAATTATTAATTAAGAGTTGATGATATTGACTTAGAATTGAGTTTTTGATTAGTTTCCTAGAAAGATGTTGAAATTCGTGTAATACTACAACTCTAACTGTAAGTTGCCTACATTTGGCGCAACTCGAGGGCTGTTACCATACAATGTCTTGGTTTTCCCAAAGGAGTATAATGAAGGAATGTGTGTTAGAAGCAATTTATACCTATTACAAATTATTAAAATCAGATTATACAGCTTTTATTTATATTTAAAAAACCTTCCTGCATTATTTTGTTAGATTGCTGTCTACATTACTGAGTAAAGGCCAACTTTGTAACTATTTTTGTTTTTGTAAAACGTGGTTTCTGTGGAGGCAAATTTAAAATAATAGGGTATATCCTAAGTTCCTTCCTCTACAAATACTTTTTAATTATCAACAATTCAAATAATATATTTTCTTATTTCTTAAGAAAAGCTCTCTCTGTCAATGTTTAAAATTACAAATTGAAAAAATATAAAAAATGTATAATTAATTTTCGAAGTTCATACCGATCCATTACATAATTGCCAAATATTGTAAACAAATGGCACGATTAAATTATTTTTATTATAGCTAATTTTACTTAGAATCTACTTATTGATTCGTGGAATTTTCCGGCATCTATCGCTTCATAGACACTTTAATACCATTCAATATAAATACTTTACTTATGTACAAATACGGTATAAAAACTAGTTTTATTAATTTCTACTTTTATTTTTAGAACATGTTTTTTTAAATTCGGGTATGTATCTTGTATTTATAAATATAATAAATCTGCACACTTAATCAGTTCAGTGTTGATTGTTGTCTCCTTCGTTCATTCTTACGTATGTCTTCTCTTTCTAACCCATAACGGATATTGTGAAATAGCAAATTCGTTGTAGGGAAGACGTTAAGAAAAAAAATCGATGTATTGTTCATGTACGGGCGGTTGTGTTGAGTAGCGTGTTGCGCAAAAAGTATTTCTATATATAAATACCTTTTTATTTTCTATTATACATTACCAATTTTTCATTTAAGTACCTGGTGAGTTAAATATCCATTAATTCTGGTAAATCTTCTCCTAGTTGTTCTTAATTATTGTTGTTTACTTCGCACTATAAGTAACCAGCTGGGATGGTTACTTTGTTATTGTTTACCTCATGCATGCCGTTTCTAGAATCATCCAAAACTGATTATTTTCCATTTGTTTTGTTTGCTTCTTTCTACCATAATAGAGATTGAATGTTTAGCTTAATTTAACATTATTTCTTGTGTAAAATATGATTTAAACTTCTATAATTCGGAAAGTCACGTAGTCCAACACATGACGTGTAACCCAAATCATAATAAACAGAAGTTTTATTTTTGTAAATAGCCCATCAACCTATGAATTTATTACAGGTACCCATTATTTTCCACTAAAACTGAAACTTCGGCAGGTGATAACAACATAAAAAACATCGTTTTTGCGTTGTAGCAAAAATGGCTTCAGAAAAAGGGGATGCCAGTGTTGATGTTACCGAAGAAGTCGACATGGAAAAAGCCGTCAACGAAGAGCTCGCGGCCAAAGAAAATGCCACTGTCGGCGAAAGTTTGATAAAAAGAAGACCCAAGAAAGTTCACAGGCAAAGCTCTAAAGAAGGAGCTGTCCCAGCTGGGTTCGTTCACGGACCTAGATCTTGGAAAAACAGTCGCCGGTCGAGAAATGGATTTGGTAGAGGTTTACCGAAGAAGAAGGGTGCCGGAGGTAAAGGTGTTTGGGGCCTCCCTGGATCTGAACTGTTAGAAGCTTATGAAGATATTAATGATCCAAATTTTGATAATGAAAATATGAGCAATGGTTAGTATACCATCTATTTTTTGTAAGGATTGTAATATTTTTATAACGGAAATATACCTACTATATATTCCTAAATAATAGTAAACAATACCCTGATTAAAAACCTATAAATAAATGGAATATTTTTGATATACCTTGAATTGCACAATTTTTTAAGTTTGTATTGCTATTATTCACTAAATGAATATTTTGTACACTTAAATCCACACAGTCTACTCTATTTGATAACCTGCTTCCAACTTTTAAGATGTTTCATTTGTATGATCTTAATTTCTTTAAAAACTTCTGTTAATTCTTGTGCCATTACTTGAGAATAAATTTTTAGTCGCTTATTTTTCTAAACATGTTATTCATTCAAATTATCTTTTCTTCTTCTTGATTTATTCTTTATCCATTCTATATTGTGTTAGCTCTTGTGTTACTTCTGGTATTAATCAAAAGTCTATTTGTTTCAAATCAAGTTAGCAGTTACGAAACCAATTCTCTTAGATTTGTCCGAATTTTGCACACTTATTTTTTATCTTCTTTGTGTGTGGGAAATGTTGAAAATACATTTTTCATATTCAATTTTCCAGTTAATATTACATGGTTATGTTAGAATTTTAAAATTCCTACAATAGAAACTAGAAAGGCAGAAAATGTGACAAAATGTTCAAATTACTGTGAAGAAAAAGGCAGCTTAAGTCCATTCAGAAACTCAAAAAATGTTTGATAAAATGTTGTAGCCTTAATGATAAAGTGGTGTAACTCAAAAAATATGATTCTGCAGAAAACGCAAAAAATGTTTCTATAATTACTGTTATCTCTTTTGTATCATTGTGGCTGCCTAACCTATAATACTTTCAACACAATTATTTTTAAGAAAAGGAACCTTGTTCTTTCCAGTGTAATCTGTGCAAATTTCTTGTAATGTAATAAGTTTTTTATAATTAATTTTTTGATTTTTTCTCTTGTCACTTTAAAATTAAAATCTTTTTAAACTGAAAGCATTATTAAACAATGTCTCAATTTATGATTGAAAGTAAATCTACAACACAAGGAATATTTGTTTGTAATGTTTAATATTATATTTTAAAATTATCTTATATTGTAAAATAAAATGTGTCAGTTTACTACTATATCAAGGCACTAAAATTAAGGTTAGGTTCATAGTACTTATAAAAATAAATAAAGGTTTTTCTTTGTTCATAAAATAAAAGACCTAAAGGCTAGAAAAATGATTATTTATTTCTGCAGACTCTAAATAAACATTGTGCATACATGAAAAAAGTGATTAAAAAACATTGACAACAGTAAAAAAATATTTAAACATTTAGTAAAATTCTGCATAATAATTTGGAATAGGATTCATGACAATCAGCTCTTGGAGATCTTTTTTCTTATTTTCACTTAATTCTATTTTTTTTTATGAGTAAATTCATATACTTTTTCCAATTTTTTTTTTCAAATATTTGATGTACATCAGTGATGAACATTCTTCTTGGAATTGATGGAACGTAACTGGTTGCTTCATGTTAGAAATTTATACAGGCTAGCAGAAATAGAAGAATTAAAGTATCCAATTTTTTTGATTATGAGTGACGACATTGAAAGGTACTGGCAAACACTTCTATTACTTCTTTCGACCATTCCATGTGTTAAAATTTTTGTTTTTGATCAGAATGTAACACTAAAGTAACTCCATGTCTTCATATGACATGTGTTATGAATGCTTCTGCTACTGTAGTTGCTTCTTGATTAGGGAGGGTTGCATTTTCAGGGCATTTGAAAAAATAATTCATTGTGACCAATAAGTACTTGTTTTCTCCCTCTGTCATGGGAAGTGGACAGAGAATATTCACTGCAAATCGTTCAAAATGCTCTCCGGAAAGATTGTGCCATGTTACTACGACTTTTTCTTCTAGCATTACATAAATCGCATTTCTTTTCACAATCTACATTTCAGTGACAATAGATAGGTCTTACTCCATTTTTAAGGCATTCTTGTATGACTTTTAAGTCATCTTGATCATCTGGAGAGTTACTTCTTTAGCTACAGTTGCTGTTCCAAACATTCTTGCCTAAAAAGAATATTGATATTATTATGAAGATTGACCTTTTCAATGTTAGAGTCTCTCTATCCAACGAGCAATTTATCCTTCTGGCTTTTTCAAATTTGTTAGCCACTTCAGGATGCTATGGTCAGCTCTAGACATGTTTTGCAGCTAAGTCATCTTAAAACCATCTCCATCAGACATTTAAACAGAGCTGAGCATTACAAAGACCAAATGGTAGAACATGGAACTGGAAGAGACCATGGTCTCTACAAGTAAACAAGTGCCTAGTGTATTAGGTAATTTTTGTGTAACCTGGTTTAATCTTCTATAGTCTACAGAAAAGTGAGTAGATCCCCCTTTCTTAGTTATTAAGACTATTGGTGAACACCAGGAGTCTGAAGATTCTTCAGAAGAGGAAAAATATCAATATATAAGAATTCTACTGTGCTAGGATTTGTTACTAAATCCTACATTAATACTAAAACCTTTATTAATAAATCAAAGTACATGGAAATCTTGAGCAGAAAAGGAATAAACACCAGTCAATCCTTTAAATTGGAGGTGGAGGATGGCTCAGTTGTAGAATTCGAGAAGGTGGATGAATATATGTACTTAGGTACTCTTATTGGTCAGACATGTAAGAAAGAAACTGAAATCAACCTGAGACTGACCAAGAGCAACAGGTGTGCTGGAGCCATGAGCAAAATAATTAAGGCCAAAGATATATCTCGTAATACAAAAATAAGAGTATACAAAATTATAATGAGACCCACAATGCTATATGCTGCCGAGACATCAACTAAATACAAAACCATACAGAACAGATTGGAAGCATGGGAAAGAAATATACTGTGCAGAATGTTTGGTGGAAAATTAGTAGACAGAGAATGGAGAAGACGAACTAATACAGAAGTGTACCATTTGTATGCTAACCCTAAAATAACAAAAGTGGTGAAAAAATGTAGATTAGAATGGCTCAGACATCTAGAAAGAATGTAAGGTAATATACTAGTCAAGAATATTGCTTGGAGAGTACCTGAGGGCAAAAAAAAGAGAGGAAGACCAAGAAAGAAATGGAGAGATGTAGTGATGGAAGATGTCAGAGAGATGGGAATCAGAGATTGGAAGCTGATAGCTAAGAATAGAAAACAATGGAAATTATCTATCCAGCAATGGGCCTAAATGGTCTGTTAACGCTGGCGCTGTACATACATACATACTCTGGTAGGATGCTGGCATCTCCACAATAGGATTGTTTTTTAACCTTTCTGTTTCCAGTTGCCCACTCTGTATATATTAATCCTTTATACATTATTTATTAATACAATAATTCCAACATTATATTTTCCAATTAAATATTTTATATTTCAAACAATAAACATCTCAGGCTTACATTTTATCAAAATATGTTTATCAAAAGTAGTAATAATAAATTATCAAAACAATTAAATTGTTAACCACTTCTTTTATCTCCTTTTTATATTTATATACATGGGATTTTTATGTGTTCACTGATATCCCCACTATTTGTTTGTTTACAATTATTTACTGAATATTATAAGCCTTATCAAAGACTTTTGTGGGTTTAAACCAACATAAACAAACATACACGATAAGGCTTCATACACCATCGCTCCCGCTTCACTCTTATTATAGTAATACTATAATCATTTTATATCATCTTTCATATAAAAGATGTTATTTAGAAGTTTTAACAGAAAATCCCATTTATAGATCGATATGCCTATAGGTTTTAAAATTAAACATAACAGCTGACTTTATAAGTTAATAAATACAGGAGATAAATATACAGTATGATGTCAATGTATTGAATAAAACAGACGACTTTTTAAAAAATCTTAAAACATGTCAATTTTAATGGCCATCAACTGCTATATGTGTTGGAAATTACGTCATCAGTGTCGGAGTAATGAGGTAATCGACGATTTTTTTAAATACAAACCAAGGTCACGCGACAGCTCATATGAAAGGTCTGCTTATCACCTTCTGTTGGTTTATTAATAAACTTACAATAAATGTTTACTTTTACTATTTATTTACAATAAATACAATTAAATTACAAGAAATGTTCAAATTGACGACCTTCAGCAATAATACAATGTGAAGGAGGGCAATAAATTCTTATTCGATGACTTCAGGTATTGTTTGTGCAATTTCCGTTCTGATGCGCTTCTTCAACTCTTCTACGTTATTCGATCGATTTTGATGCACTCTTCTCTTTAAATATCCCCACAAAAAAAATCTAACGGAGTCATATCCACCTACCTGGGAAAACGGTATTAAGATAATTTCGTACCTCAACACCTTAGTGTGGAAAGCCCTATCATATTGGTACCACAAATTATTTTTATTTGAAAATAGCTAATTCAGCTGTGGCAACACATAATCCTGAAGAAATTCTAGATAACAAGAAGCAGTTAAGTTTTCCTCAAAAAATATGGCCCTATAATTTGATTGTTTATAATAGTGGACCAAACATTCACCGTCTCGGGATATTGTGCCCCATACTCTTCCATCCAATGTGCATTTTTACTTGCCCAGTATCGATATGTCTAGTGATTTACTTGACCGTTCAGTATAAAAGACGCTTCATCAGAAAAAAGTACCTTTTGTATGAAACCCTGATCTCTATTACAATTTTCCATAACAGTTTCGTAGAATTCGATTCTTCTATCAAAGTCGTCTTCTAATAGCTCCTGCACCAGATGTACTTTGTATAGATACTACTTCTCCTTTTTTAACACTCTTAAAACAGATGACTGGTGGACATTATTATCTAGTGCAACTTGGCTAGAACTGGTATGGGGATTTTCTTGAAACGCCATTACAACGTTCAGTTTCTTGGTTTCTGATATTGATTTTCTACAACTTCTGGGAAAATCTTTAACATGGCCCGTTTCTCTAATTTTTTTTTCAATTTTATTTACTGTTGATTGAGTAATTGGTTCGGTAAGAGATTGGTTCGCGATTGGGGTATTTAGCATTAAATAAATTACGAACTTCTGCTTGAGTCCTTACTCTATCTCCATAACCAATCATGAGTAAAGGATTTGATGATGGAAGGTAAAGAAAGAAGAACAAGAATGAATCACTGGTTTGACGAAGAATGTCAAAACTATAACAGAAAGAAAAAACAGAGCATATCTACAGATGCAACAGAGGCACAGAACCCGACAAGCAGAGGAAGAATATAAACAACTACGTAAAGAAGAAAAGAAAATTCACCGAAGAAAGAAGAGAGAATATATCAACAAAGAACTTCAAGAACTACAAGAACTAAGTAAACCAACAGAGACAAGAAAATTTTACCAGAAACTAAACAAAAGCAGAAAAGAGTTCAAACCGAGAACAACGATGTGTAAAGATAAGGAGGGTAATATATTGACAGAACAGCAAGAGATACTTAGAAGATGGACAGAACATTTTAAGGAAAAGCTTGGGGTGAATAGGACGGAGATGAACCCTGATATACCGTTAGACCAAGTAGACAACAGAGAAAAGAGTCCACCAACAATAGCAGAGATTAGAACAGCAGTGGACAAATTAAAGAACAATAAATCACCGGGATCGGATCAAATATCATCGGAGCTACTGAAAGAAGGAGGAGACGCATTACTTAAAGCCATACATGAGCTGATAAGAAAGATATGGTTGAATAAACAGCTACCAAAGGAATGGAATAGCGGCATTATTGTACCACAACATAATAAAGGAAACCAGTTAGAATGTGAAAACTACCGTGGAATCACGCTGTTGAATGCGGCATACAAAATAATGTCCAACGTAATGTATGAAAGACTTAGACCATACGCTGAAAAAAATAGTTGGCAAATACCAATGTGGCTTCTGTAGACAGAAGTCAACAATAGACCAGATATTTGTTCTGCGACAGATCCTTGAAAAAACAAGTGAATATAACATCGACCCACATCATCTCTTCATAGACTTCGAAAGCGCATATGACAATATAAACCGAGAATTCCTAACAAAAGCAATGAAAGAATTTAATATACCAACACAGCTAATAGAATTGATAAAAGAAACACTAAAAATAGAAAGTAAAATCCGGATACAAAACGAATTAACGGAAACAATAGATGTGAAGAAGGGACTACGCCAGGGAGACGCTCTATCATGCATATTATTCAACATCATACTTGAAAAAATAATAAGAGACACAACAGTTAATACCCGAGGAACAATAATTAATAAAAGCGTGCAAGTACTAGCATTTGCAGATGATGTTGATATAATCGCAAGATCAAGAAGAGAAATGATAGAGGCATTCACTCAAATAGAACGAGCTGCAAAAAATAGTGGTCTTAAAATCAATCAGACAAAAACAAAATATATGCCTGCAAATAAAAACGCACAAATAAGGCAGCTGCCAAATTTAACAATAGGAGAATACAACATTGAGGCGGTAAAAAACTTTACATACTTAGGATCCCTAGTTACGTCTGATAACAACGTTGCAGAGGAAGTGAAGAGGAGAATATTTATTGCCAATAAATGTTACCATGGCTTAATTAGGCAACTAAGATCAGATAACGTCTCCAGAAAAACAAAATGACAAATATACAAAACCTTAATAAGACCGGTACTCACATACGGTTCAGAAACCTGGAAACTCTCTAAAAGGGAGGAAACGTTATTAGCCACCTTTGAAAGAAAAATCTTGCGACACATATATAAGGGCCCAAAAGAAACCGGGATTTGGCGGAGAAGGTATAACTTTGAACTATACAACATATACCAGGATCCCGATATCATAACATTCATTAAAATAGGAAGGCTACGTTGGATTGGACATATGGAAAGAATGGTAGAAGGCGAAATACCAAATAAAATATTCAAACAAGTGCCAGTAGGAAAAAGAACAAGAGGAAGACCGAAGCTGAGATACGTAGAACAAATAGAAAATGATATAACAACATTAAGAATTAAAAGCTGGAAAAAAAAGCACGAAACAGGTCAGAATGGAGAAGAATCCTTGAACAGGGAAAGACCCAAAAAGGGTTGTCAAGCCAGTGATGATGATGGATCATGATTAAAATCTCGATTCGTTCTGTTTCTGTTAGTTTCATTTTTGTAAATGCTGTTCAAGTTTTCACCAAATTTCGTAAAAAGAAATTTTTTTTGTAAAAAATAAAAATAAAAAACCTGAATTTTCTACAAAAATTTTGAGGTTATGTGAAAAAAGTGTAAATATAAAAGTTGCAGATCTTTTTGTTATCTACAACTTTGCTATTTAACTTTTTTCCATAGCACTTGTAGTTTCGCCGAAAATCGCGATAAACCGATTTTTACCCTTAAAAACTCACCCCCTCCCACTTCTTCCCGAACTCGGATGGTGTGGAATTTATTTTTTCTTCCATTTTTAGCATATTCTCTTCCTTTTTCAATACGTTTCATTCTACTATAATTTTTTTTGGTTTCAAAGATGATCGACCCTGGTCTAATACACACTAACTGAAGTTCATGTAGCATTGTATATATCTCCTTGAGATTGTCCGAGAACAAAACTATGTTGTCTGCCAATTTCAAATTTGTTAATCTTCTACCGTCAATGTTCAGGCATTTCTCTTCCCAGTTAAGTTTTTTACAAGCATATTCTAGTATGTAATTGATATAGGGATGTGCTGATCGTATGGAATGACTAAGATATGCCATTTTTCTACAATAAATTAACTTGGCAATTTTTGTAATGGCAATATATTACTTTTTGTATTATTAAAAACATGTCAAATAGGTCTACTCATTTTACACTCATTCATTTTTTTAACGATAGCATATGATTTAGCCTTGTTTTGTTTAATAGGTGACATAGAGCTTAAGGCAGTTGTACCTGAGGTTTCTGATGAAGAAATCAAGAAAAAAGTGGAGCCAATCATTCTCGAATATTTCGAGAACGGCGACACTCACGAAGCAATGCTTACCATCGAAGAGCAAATTCCTGTAAAAAGAAGAGATACATTGGTCGAGCAGCTCATAGAAATAGCAATGGATCACAAACCTTCGCACAGGGAGATGACTTCCGTTCTCATCTCCGATCTCTTCCCACATACCATAAATGAGTCTGACATCAGCAAGGCGTTCGAGAACTTGCTGGCGAACGTAAACGATTTGATTCTGGATATTCCAGACGCTCCTACAGTTTTGGGCAATTTTGTAGCCCGTGCCATTGCAGACGATTGCATTCCTCCCAAGTTTATTATTTCTATTAGAGAAAAGAGCGACAATAAGCACTTCCAGGAAGCTGTCAGCCGTGCAGATACACTACTTTCTATGAAACATGGTCTGGTACGGCTGGATAATGTTTGGGGAGTTGGTAAGTACTGTTTTATTTAAACTTATAATTTATTATAATAGTCATTTTGAAGTTTTAGATTAATTCTTGGTATTCGTAATGATTTTTTTAAATTTACTTTTAAACCTACTTTACCTAATACACTCAGATGCAAAAAAAGACGCAACAGAGAAAATTTTGGTCAAATTCAAAGTAGTTTAGTTTTTTTTTATTTTTAGACCTATTTTGATGATTTTTCTTAGCACACTGTAAAAATTTATAAATTTTAATTTAGTATAGTGAGTTTTTTAATAAAATTTTGTATTTGTTAATGTGGAGGGAGTGATGTCAAAATTCTTGGCAATCTCAAATTTCTTGTTTTTGGGATTTCTTCAACAAATTGTATCAGTTTACGTTTAAATTCTACTGTAAGCGCTTTTCGACTAAAGCGCTTAAATTCTACTGTAAGCGACATAGCAAATACGAACACAAAATAAAAAAAAACTTTACACTTCGATGTACTGTATGATAATAACACTCAAATCTTTAGGTACTGGTACTGATCACAGTGTCAAGGTCAACACTGCACCGACTGACTGATGGTTCTAGGGGTAAGGGGTGGAAAGCAGGTCACATTGTTTTCATGTCTAGACTTGTCCGTGAGTCACTACAATCTATACTAAACCAGGATTGCCACATGATTTTTTTTTAATTTTTGCCAAAATTTCCCTAGATTTCCCTAACAACTTGACAACCATATTTAGATAATTGATGGATTCGACCGTTACTTGATGGAAATTCATTTTATGTAACAATAAAACACTGAAAACTTTGTTTTCAAACTTCCACAAAATTTATTTTAAATATTATGACTACAGCTGTTTCGGCTGATTGCCTTTCTCAAGTGATCTATTTTGGCTTGGGTTTACAAATTTATAGTCTCTAATGAAATAGGTTGAGGAGGGGAGAACTGTTTGTCTCAAGTTGGTCATTCAGAATTATATCTGTGTTTTTTAATTTGTTGATTTTCATAGATTCTAAAAAAGATAGCTTAAGGCCTTTATTTTGAATGTGAAGAATTTTAAATTTGTCATTAAAAGAATGATTATGATCTAGAAGGTGAAGTGCGTATGTCGAATCTGTTTTTCTATTCTTGAAAGCCCTTTTATGTTCTGCTAACATCGTGCTAACATCGTGTTAATTATGTTAACATCGGTCAAACTGGTAGAAACTTTGATAAACGAATAGCAGAACATAAAAGGGCTTTCAAGAATAGAAAAACAGATTCGACATACGCACTTCACCTTCTAGATCATAATCATTCTTTTAATGACAAATTTAAAATTCTTCACATTCAAAATAAAGGCCTTAAGCTATCTTTTTTAGAATCTATGGAAATCAACAAATTAAAAAACACAGATATAATTCTGAATGACCAACTTGAGACAAACAGTTCTCCCCTCCTCAACCTATTTCATTAGAGACTATAAATTTGTAAACCCAAGCCAAAATAGATCACTTGAGAAAGGCAATCAGCCGAAACAGCTGTAGTGATAATATTTAAAATAAATTTTGTGGAAGTTTGAAAACAAAGTTTTCAGTGTTTTATTGTTACAAACCATATTTAGCCTAGAATGGACCACCTAAGTCTGACGTCAGAATGAGCGGGATTTTTAAAAACCTTTCCAAACATTTCTAATTTGAGTTTATTGGTCACATAAGAAGTTGGAAATATTGGTATTTTAATTGTTTGTGAAATAAATAAGGACTTTTGGTTATGAAGATTCATTCTGTGCGATTTGTTGTTGTAAGAATCCTCCTCAATATTTTCTCCTTCGTAAGGATATAGTGGCGTCATGTAATTTTTTAAAATATTTTTGTCCAATTATCTCTTTTCTGTGCGTGTTGTTTTGCTTCGGAGAATGAATAACCAGTCATCTCTTTTATTTGGTCCGACCATCGTACTGGGGATCTTCCTCTGGATCGTTTACCCGCTACGTTACCTTCAACTATCATTTGCTATATGCCTTCTCTTCTTCTAGTTATATGTCCAAAATATCTCAGTATATTTGGGTTGATAGTTATGATGAGTATAATTTTATGTCAAGTTCTGCTAGAATTGGGTTATTTGTGCGATAAGCGGTCCATGGTATGCGCAACATTCTACGGTAGATCCACATTTCAAAGGCTTACGCTTTGAATCGGCTGTTGTTATTGTCCAAGTTTTTAAAGCATATTTGGCGATAGAAAATATCAATGCTCGAACACGGCGTAATTTTGTATTTTTTGTGATGCCAGTGTTCTTCCAAATTTTTGTGAGTTTAGCTGTTGCCGATCTGGCCATTGTGATGCGTCGACGGATCTCGTCTTCGCATCCTCCACTGTTAGTAATAAAGAAGCCTAAGTAATTAAATTGCCTGACTACTTCGTAACCTGCTATGTTTTTTATCTCTGCTTGGTTGTTTCTGATTCTATCGATGTTCATCACTTTGCTTTTCTGTATATTTATTTTTAAACCATATTCCGTACTCACCGTACCTAGCCTATTCATAATTTGTTCCAGTTCTTCTGGTGATGACGCCAATATAATATAACAGTGTCATCAGCATAACGCAGGTTTTTAATTTTTCTTCCTCCTATCGTTGCTTCACCTTACCTTGCCACTTTCCTCAAGAACTTGACGAATATTTTCACTATACACATTGAATAGAATAGGGCATATTATGCATCCCTGTCGAACTCCAGATTTTAATTTGATGTTTTCGAAATCACATTATTAACTCTTACATTAGCAGGTACTATTTAACTATAGTTTTTGTAATAAATAGATTAGATGTTCTGCAGTACTCATTTCACTAAGTGAATGCCACATTTTATTACATTTTACGGTATCGAAGGGTTTGGAATAGTCAACAAAGCACTCTCGAGATTTTTCGATAATTTGACGAATATTAAGAATATGTTCTCTTGTTTCTCTACCTGGGACGAATCCGCATTGTTCTTGGGGAATTTGTGGTAAGATAATTAATTTTAGTCTTTCATTAATGATGGTTAGAAGTACTTTGCTCGCGTGTGATATCAATGCTACTGTGCGGTAATTACTGTAATCAGCTGTCGGTAAACCTTTTTTTATATATGGGAATAAACGCAAGTTTACCCCAGTCATTTGTCCACTTTCCGGTATTCCAAATCTCGGTCTCGGTTCGTTGTTAGAAAATATTATTTTACAATATTGTTTCCACACCTCTGCGAGGCCGTCTGGGTTTTTTATGATATTTCCACTATTATCTTTGATGATCTTTGCGGTTTGAATTCTCTCGCTAGATACTTGACTTTTGAGAAAAGTTCTCTAGGTTCTTAGCGGTCAGCATGTTCCTCTAGTTGTACACATATATTTTTAATATATTTATTTTTGCTCCTTCTACACAAGTGTTTTATTGTAAGTTGTATTTATGGTAAGAAGGATAAGAATATCAAAGTATTAAGATATTTTAGTCCAGGTGGATCCCTGACGTAATTCGCCCATTGTGAAATACCACCACTCTACTCATCGACGGGGAATCACATAAACAGTTAGAGAAAGACAAACTAGAAACCAAAAATCGCCCGATGGGCGACGCCAATACATACTTTAGCCCAGGTAGATCCCCGACGTAATTCGCACTTCGTGAAATTTCACCACTCTAGTTTCCGACGGGAAATCACATAAACAGAATTTAGTGATTCCACGAATAGTATAATTTCCAAGTAGATAATATAATATGTGCAATTTTGGAAAGTTTATTAAATAAAACTGATTTTTTAAAATATTCTTACAAATATTAAGAATTCCCTAGATTTTTCATAGAATTGAATAAAAATCCCTTTTTCCCTAAGCTGGCTCAAAATTCCCTAGCTATAGGGAAAATTCCCTAGGTCTGGTAACGCTGTAACTAAACTACGCTAAACAAACCGATGTTTGGAACGCAGAAATGCGCCACACAGGGGTTTCGTGCGTTATGTAGGTGTTTGCTACACTCAATATTCATTATACAGGGGTTTTAATATATTTCCGCAAATCGTAAAAATGCGTTATATCGAGGATTAAAACTGAAATAGTTATATATAGGGGTATTTTTTGCATTGAGTGTTATGGACGTTTGAAGGGAATTTAAAATAATGTTATACGGGGATTTCTTTATATCGTGGTACATTACATCGGGACGGCACTGTATTACAATCTTTTATGTTGTGCGGTAGATTTTTTTTTGTTTTTTTTTTTCACTAAATTAGCGTGAAGTGATAGAATTTTGAACCGTATAAAAACGCTATGTTAGTAGCCTTGACGTGTTCCCTAATTCCAGTCCTCAAATTTAGTGAAATTAAAACCATCCCAAATTTATTCTGTGAATTCCTGTTCATCAACAATATTTTTTTTCTTGTCATTAATAATGAGTTCAACTTACTTAGACGCTTCGACCAGAATCAGAAAATAATATTTCTGGTTGTTCTCTTCCACTGGACATATAGAGGCCGTCAGAATGTACGTTTGTACAGTATAATTTTTTATGAATATAGAGATTGTTTTACATTCAGAAATTATTCCAAACCAAAGCCGTACCTTGTATATAAATAATACAAAAATAGGATCGAGGTGTGGCCTGATTTTACAACAAGTTTATTTACCTGTTAGTGTATTTTTAAACTAATAACAATGTGCTGTAATGGACGGATATTTCTATTATTGCGTGACTAACAACTAGGAAGAGGTGCCAAACTCATATGTAATGAAAATAAAAATTATTTTTAAAGTCAGAACGACGCAAAACGTGTTTACTATCAGAGATACTTTCACTATTTACGTAATATTTTAGATTGGAGTTTAAAATAACTAAATAGTTTAAAAATATTAATTTCACTGTATGTAATTCACATTTAAATTGTTGGAAAAACCTTATTCTAATGGTTCTTTAGATTTTCATAACATTTTTCAATAGTATTGATTCTTATAGCTGATGTCAAGAGAAAGATTTGAAAAAAAAGTTTTTTACGACCAATAGAAGTGGTCAAAGTAAAAGAACAAAAAGAAATAAGCAAATAATGGCTATTAACCTAGATAAGCTTAAAGAAGAATCCACTAGTGATAAAATACGGGAAGAAATACATAGACACTTGAGTAACATAACAGTACAATCGACACAAACTCCCGAGGAAGAATGGCACTATATTGAGAAAACACTTACAAGAGTAACAGAAGACTACCTCAAACAAGATACACGAAAAAAGAACAAACCATGGATGACAGAAGAAATTCTAAACATGATGGACGAAAGAAGAAAATACAGAGGTAAAAATTAAAACAACATACAAGCAAATACACAAGAATATCAGAATAAAGATCCAACAAGCCAAAGAAACCTGGCTAAGTGAAAGATGCCAAGAAATTGAAGAGTTGGAACAAAGACATGATACTTTCAATCTACATAAAAAAGTAAAAGAAGCCGCTGGAATATTTAAACAAACTCCTACGTCTTTCATCGAAGATAAACATGGGAACCCGCTACTGAACATAGAAGATCAAATAGGTAGATGGAGAGAATACGTGAAAGAGATGTTTCAAGACCGAGAGAGGACGAACATTTACATGCAGGAGGCATCGACTGGACCTTATATCACAAAGCAAGAAATTATCAAAGCGGCAAATCAGTTAAAGAACGGAAAAGCTGTTGGGAAGATAATATCCCAATTGAAATAATAAAGATATTACTAGACGAACACATCGAAGTAATGGAAGATATATTTAACAAAATATACGAAACAGGCATAATACCAAATGATTGGCTGACATCGGTGTTTATACCACTACCAAAGAAGAGAAACTCCAAGAAATATGAAGACCATAGGATTATTAGCCTGATGAATAATATGTTGAAGCTTTTCCTACGAGTAATACACTATAGAGTATACAATAAACTAGACGAACACACTGGTCAAACTCAGTTTGGTTTTAAGAATGGGTTCGGAACAAGAGAAGCACTTTTTTCAATACGTGTGCTAGTTGAAAGATGTAGAGATGTCGATTCTGATGTATACTTGTGTTTTATAGACTTTCAGAGGGCGTTTGACCTGGTGAAACATGATAAACTAATAGATATTTTAAGGTCATGTAATATCGACGGTAAAGACTTAAGGATCATTTCAAACTTCTACCAAGAACAAAAGGCTAAAATCAGAATAAAAAGCGAAACATCTGGAAAAATCAATATCGAGAAGGGAGTAAGACAGGGATGTGTCCTATCACCTTTGCTGTTCAATGTTTACTCTGAGAAGATATTTCAGAAAGCTTTGGAAGGCACCTCGGATGGTATAATTATAAACGGGCAATGTATAAATAACCTGCGATATGCTGATGACACTGTCATACTGGCAGATAATGCTGAAGCCCTGCATCGCTTAATGGACCGAGTAACGACAGCCTGTAGAGAATTTGGAATGAAATTGAATACAAAGAAGACAAAAACGATATTCATCAGCAAGCACCAAAACAGAAGGGTGAAGGTCAATGTCGATGGAACAGATCTGGAAAGAGTAACAAGAACAACGTACCTCGGAAGTAATCTTGATGAAACTTGGGACCATTCACTAGAGATAAGAATACGCCTGGCAAAGGCACGTACAATGTTTTACAAAATGCAAAAAGTTCTATGCAACCGTCAGCTGGGCATCTCATTGAGAACTATAATACTTAAGTGCTATGTTTTCTCCACCTTGCTCTATGGTGTTGAAACCTGGACAATGACAGAAGCAACACAAAAAAGAATCCAAGCATTCGAACTCTGGTGTTACCATAAAATGCTCAGAACATCCTACATGAGCCATACGACAAATGCGGAAGTCTTGCAGAGGATGAATAAGGAAAGAGAGCTTATGCTTATAATAAAAGAACGGAAAACACAATATTTTAGTCACATCATAAGAAATCAAAAGTATGAACTGCTCCAACTTATAATCGAAGGCAAAGTCAATAGCAAAAGAGGACCAGGAAGAAGACGCAACTCTTGGCTTAAAAACCTACGGCAATGGACGAACATGACCTCCATAGAACTATTTAGGGCTGCTACAAATAAGATTAAATGGGCAAATGTAATGGCCAACGTCCTTAAGGATAAGGCACCGTAAGAAGAATAGAAGTGGAGTTAGCTTAATTTCTTCAAAAAAAATCCCAACTTCTGTGTTTATAATAATTAAGAACTAAAATTGGCGCCATTCCATAGTTAAAGGCCTGTATTTTATGAGGATATAATTTTTATTTTTATAAAACCGCTATTTATTATTTTTTTAACAGATGCAATTGCTTTAATTTAATACTACAAAAAACGTGCAGTACAATGACAGATCAATAGACAGATAGAGAGGGGCAATAGAGAGGGATAAAGAGTGAGACGAGATATGGAGAGAGAGAAAGAGAGGTAGGGAGACAGACATCGAGGGAGGGAGAACGAGTTAGCGTGAGGGGTGAAGGGGAGAGAGAGAGAATGAGGAAGATAGAGAAATTTTGTTAGTATTTAAAAATGAGACAGCCGAAATTACGTATGCTTACGGAGTACTACTTCTTTATTTTTTATTTGGTATTGGGAGGGAGGACGATATAGAGAGGGAGACAGTGGGGCTGAAATGAAGAGAGATAGAGAGATTAAGAGAGTGTGAGAGCGAGATAGGGAGAGAGAGGGAGAGAGGTGTTAACGGCTATTAACCTAAGATACGAAAAGAAAAAAAGTAATTATTCTACATCTTCTTCTTTACGTGCCATTGCCGCGACTGAGGTTGGCAATCATCATGGCTATTCTGTCATATTAGATGCTGCCGCTCTGAATAGTTCGATTGATAATTCTCCTTCTTCCTACACTTTCTCTTGTCCTGGATTTTCCCTCGTATAATTAATTGAAGTATGTTGTATCTTTAATCACCCATAACATGCCCAAGCTATTGCAGCTTTTGTGTCTTGATGGTTTCCAATATTTCTATTCTTTTATTGACTCTTCTCATGACTTGGTTGTTTGTTACATGCTCGGTCCATGATATCTTCAGGATTCTTCTATACACCCACAGTTCAAATGCTTCCAACTTTTTGCTCGTCGTTTAAGTGTCCATGTTTATATCCCGTAAAGCAGAGTAGAGAAAATATAACACCTTGCCAGTCTAACTCTCAAGTCTAATTCCAGTTCTCTTGCACAAAGTTTCTTTCTCATTCTATTGAAGTTTGTTCGTGTTTTCTCTATTCGAACTTTGATTTCTTTGGAGTAATCGTTTGTGTGATTAATTATTGTGCCAAGATAATTATAGTTTTCAACGTGTTTTACCGCTAATTGTCAGGCTTTCATCATTATTTTAGGGTTTTGATATCCTGTCCTGGTATTCTACATATAAACGAATAATTGTCACTTGTAAATGAATTCTTATTTTCAGGTGGAGCTTTACGACCAGTAAAAGCTTTAACTCGCCAGATGTGGTTACTACTGCAAGAATTTCTATCGTCGAGCGACATCGACGAAGCCAGTCGTTGTTTACGGCTTCTAGAAGTTCCCCATTTCCATCACGAATTGGTCTACGAAGCCATCGTAATGGCCTTAGAAGCCAACAGTGCCGCAAAAGAGGAACAGCTGTGCAAACTGCTGAAATCATTCTCCGATGCGATTTTGGTTACCCCGGATCAGATGGAAAGAGGTTTTCTGAGAGTGTTCGATGATCTTCCTGATATTTCGATGGACGTCCCACTGGCTTATATTATCTTAGATAGGTAAGGATTAAAATTGTTTTATTTTAAATATACATAAAAAATTTATTACTTTTTAAAAGCGTTAAAGCTCTTAAAGGGTTTTAGAAGAGGCTAAAGAAGGGCCCCATTAAAGAATTTAAAGAGATATAGTCGCTCGGTTATTAATATTTGTTATTTTTGTTTTACAGATTTGTTGAAAGGTGTCACACGGTGGGTTTTCTGACCGAAAACGTGATCAAAAAGATGCCATCTCGCGGCCGCAAACGATTCGTATCTGAGGGCGACCAACAATTTTTTAAGAATCATAAGATCGAACACTAAGGAACACCATACCTACAAGTAGTTTTTCATGCATTTGTATTCTTTCTTACTAGCACTAGGTGCTTAACATGGAAAATTGATCGAAATGTTACTTTTTGTATATGTTCTATGAAATAAAGATTATTTCAAGTTTTTTTCGAATTTGTATTCCTTTAGACAAATAATAAGATCCCTTTCTCGCATAATAAATGAAGCGATGCTATGACTACTATTATTTATATACTATTTTTACTGATAACAAGCCACAATTTTACTCTTCTTAAGAAATCCGCTTCCGAAATTGTGGACCATTTCGAGTTTATCTCGAACTAATTGGAAACAGACATAATAAGAATAAACCAGGTAAGATATTGGCCGCTCTGTGAATTCAAGTGAAACGACAATATTCACTTTGAGTGGTATATATATGGAAGGTTCAGAATAGAAGTGAACCAAGTCCACTTTTTATCATTTACGAGTTAACAACGCTATCCTTCTTCTGTAAGTTCCATCTTCTATCGAGGGTTGGAAATCATCATGGCTATGCGGACTCTGTTGACTGTCGCTCTAAAAAGTTCTGCACTACTGCATTCAAACCATCCCCTTAAATTCTTAAGCCAGGATATTCTTTGTTTTCCCACATTTCGCTTTCCTCGGATTTTGCCTTGCATAATGAGTTTTAATAATGCGTATTTTTGCCCTCTCATCACATATCCTAAGTACGCAAGTTTTCGTCTTTTGATAGTTAATATTATTTCCGCCTCATTTCCTATCCTTCTAGTTACTTCCACGTTTGACATTCTTTGAATCCATGATATTCGTAGGATTGTTCTGTAACATCAAAATTCAAATGCGGCCAACTTATTCAGATGGACTTGTTTTAGTGTCCACGTTTCCAGGCCATAAAGAACACGTAACACCGAAGCATTCTCAGGCGTAGTTCTAACCTTATATCCCGACAACAAAGAAACTTTTTAAGTTTAATGAATGATGTACGTGCTATTTCAATACGTGTCTTAATTTCTTTGGTTTAGTCTACTTCTGATGTTATCCATGTTCCTAAGTATTTATAGTTATTAACACTCTCAATTGCAGTATCTTCAATAGTCAATTGCATTACGTTCTGTAAATCATTGTTGTTATCCGTCATTACTACTGCATCGTCTGCAAAACGTAAGTTATTCAAAACTTCTCTATTGATAGATATACCTTTTCTTACTTATAGGCAGGTAGATCTAAGAAAAAGCCACGTAACAGTGTCTTTCTCTCACACACACAACACTAAATAAACTTCAGGAGGCACTTGACTTATGTACTCATCGTTAGCATTTTGCCTTCATTTATCACATCCACTGCTGGACATAGGCCTTCCTTAAACTCCTTAATTCTTTACGATTTTGTGCTCTTTGTTACCAATTTTTGATGATACGCCTGAAGTCGTCAGCCCAACGTGAAGATGATCTTCCTCTACTACTTTTGTCTGCTCTTGGTCTCCAATTTGTAATTTTGCTCGTCCATCGTAAGTCGTGCATTCTCGCTACATGGCCTGCCCAGTTTCCAAGGCTACCCCCGCTAAAGTAATTCGTCTTTGGATTTCGCCTGTTTGGTTATCTCTGCTGATTCTAATTTCATGACCCAAATATGTATATTCCTCCCAGTTCTACCACTTTGAATAGTTGAATGGTTATTGGGGACCATATTTGTCATAAAATTAGTTTTGGTCAAGTTCATTCTGAGGCCAACCTTTCAACATGCAAAGTCCAATTCATTTAACATATCCGTGGCTTATCCTAAATTATCTATGACAAGGACAATGTCACTGCGAAAAGGAGATGGTTAAGCTTTTCGCCGTCTATTGTTACTACTCTGTGGTTCCAATTGACCATCTTAAAGGCATGCTCTAATGCCGTTATGAATAATTTCGGTGACAATGTATGTCCTTACGTAATCCCACGTTTTATTTTTATTGGTCGGGTTTTATCGCGCATCTTAACAGTCATAGTGGCATTTTTGTAAATAAGTTACCTATGGTCAATCCTGCTGTCATTTATTGCTTCTATAAGGCTGTCTATTTTGATCGTGTTAAACGCTTTATGAAAATCTATGAAAGTGAGGACAATAGATTTTTCAATTAGTGTCTTTACTGTATGGAGGTGATCATTGGTAAAAAATGACCATAATTTGAACGGAATCCTGCTCTCTCGGTTGGTAGAAATCTAATAGCATACCGCCTCCATTTACAATAGCTTCTATTACAATTCCATCCTCTCCTGGGGCTTTGTTATTTTTCATTTTTCTTAATGCTTATCGAATCTCATCTAGCTTTATCTCTGGCATTAGTTCGGAAACTTGATTCATGATCTTTGAAATGGCTTTTTGTGTTCATGTTTGATATTCTCGTCTACTTCCATATAATGCCTCGTAAGACTCCTCGAGGACTTGTATTAACTCGTATCTACGTGATATTATTTCATTTTGCTTGTTTCTTTCGCTAAGTTCAAATTTATGAATTTCGCATTTCCCATTCGTTAGTTTTCTACCTAAAACTTTTAGGATGTTATTTTCTTCTAGAGTGCGTTTAATATTATCAGTTTTAAATTTCCTTAAATCTCTCCTGATTGTCTTCGAAACAATTTTATTTATTTCTCTTAGAGTGTGGCTATCTGCATTCATCGCTTCTCATTTGTCTTCTTTGATTCAGCAGCGTTTCAGTATATGGACTTACTTTACTATCTAATTTTCTTTTAGGACAGTGCACTAGGTGACTTTCTTGTACAATGGAAGATTTATGCAAAAAAAACACAAACTTTGAGTTGTAAAATCAATCAATTTTATTAAACATTAACATTCTGATCTTCAGCAAGAAGAACCCGTACATATATGCAACCAGCGCATGTCACTTTACATCCCAAAAACAATTTTAATTATAAAAACATATTTAATAACAAATGTATCATAAATTTACTGTCATAAAATAATCTCGTACTTACTCTAATAAAAATACAAGAGGAAATAATGTATTTAACTTGTAAACACGCAAATAATAAAATATAGAGAACAACAAATGACATTTAAATACTAAAGTAAAATAAAAATAATAGACAGGGCAATACTGAATGAGAAAACCCAAAGCTATGCAAAGTTGGCAATATAAACGTTAAAACAAGATGGAGTTGCGTAGTCAAAATGATTTAAAAACAAATCAGTCTTTTTTTGAGCCTTAAAATACATTGGGATGATTTCTAAATTGGAAAATTATCAAATACAGTAGCGTACCAGCAAAATTAGCTGTGACTATGTTCATTTCTATACTAAATAGGCCTCGGAAATCTAAATTACAGTGCGTTATGTTTGAATTAGGTATATACGTAAAAATTGGCAACATTGTACGGTGACAGTCAACGTACAATCACAGTATAGACAATACTGTGGTACAATGATTGCAGTATGTTTTTTTGGAGGTTATGTTCCTAAAAATGTCTTCAGAACAGTAATTTTGACAGTTATCATGTGGTTTATGCGCCTGGTTTGTCGTTTTATCAGGAATAAACTGATTCTTGAAATTAACTGGCAAATTATTTGAATTTCTTTGCAAAAATGCGCAAATATCACCTATATCGTTCATTTATCCTCTGAGACATTGTACAGTATTTATTGCTGCTCTAGTGGATAGTAACATGTGGTTATATATGGAAGATAGTGTGGTTTATAGGCTGGAAATATATTGAAACCGTTTGTCGTTACCAAGTCAAAAACAAAGCCGACTATAATATTAAAATCAGTATTAATATGAGGCACCTGTAGTTTCAAAAAAACAAACATGTTGTACTTTTTGAATATCCTATATAACTAATTCAATACTTAAGGCACTGCAGTTAGTATTATTTTCATATTGCTAATGTAAAACGATATATTGGTGGTGGTATACTTTTGGATAGCCACCATTTTTTTTTAGTAACAACTAATTTTATCCAATATTGAGCTCTCGGTAGATTGAAATTCACAGTTCCCTCTCAGAATAACATATAAGCAAGTCTATTATGAACCAATTTCCTTTCAAATTGTTATTTCATTTGAATTAATCGAACACCACTCTAGGGTAAGTAAATGTGTTGTCAATCAACGCGTTGTACAGAATATCACTCTTACGAAGTATCTAGGAATGTATTTATACATAGAATGGGTTTAGACAAGCCAGACAAACTAACATTTACAACATATACACAGACAATGTAAGGAACATATAATGGATCAATCAAGAACTATTTTAATTCGATGTAGTAGGCCTGGGAACTAATGCATCAGCATAAATTTTTGGTAACCAGTGAGATCGGTGAAACCTTGTAGAGGTAGAATAGCTAATCATTCTCGACTTCTCGTGGGACATGTGCAGACTAGGAACAAATGAATAAAAACTATGATGAAGCTCATTTTGGAAGCAGAAATTGTAAAAGGTTTGAGTATCTGGTAAAACAAGACTAAATAAGCTTCAAAAAAGGCGTTTTATTCCTATTCGAAAGCCTTAAACAAATATAGGTGGGGTATACATAAAAGATCTTTAAATTCCTTCTGGAAGGTATCACACGACACAACCCCGAGTTTTTAGACTTTTCTGGACATTTAAGGGTATGCCGATAGTGATCATCAATTTTCTAGCTTCTTGTGGGGAAAGAATAGACTAGGAACAAACAGAAAACTGTGATAGACCTTAACATGGTTCGAAAAATGTCCAAAGACTGAGCATTTGCGTCGCTTAGAGTGAAAAGTTTTGAGCATCTGTTGAAATAAGAAAAATGAGACTCTATATCAGGTTAAGTCCACCCGAAAGGTGCAAACAGATACAGATGAAGAGTTTACACAATTCCTAGTATGAGGCGATATCACCTAGCTTTTATTAACCTTCTTAAACATGTGCAGGTATACCGGTAGTCTTCTTGTGGGACAAAAATAGACTAGGAACAAACAAAAACCGTGATAAGGCTCAACATGGACGAAAAATGACCACATCACCTAAGGTTAGCTTTCTCAAGCATATGCAGGTATGGTAGTGATTCTCCATTTACTAGCTTCTTGTATGGCAAGAATAGACTAGAAAAACAACGATAGAGCTCAACATGAATAGAAAAATGTCCAAAACTTAACATTTTATGGTTTGAGGAAAATGTTTGAGCATCTGTTAAAATAGGCAAATAAGACTCGACATTAGGCGCCAAAGTCTATCCGAAAGATATTAGCAAACAAAAATGTAAGCTATACACAAAAGATCTTCCAAGTCACAGTGTGGAAATGTCTAGAAAGGCCAAGCGACACCGTTATCTACAATATTTATGTTGCTGGTACCAAAGAGAGTGAAGGAAAGCGAGAATTTTTTTTGATGAAAGATATTGTTGTTAGGTTTGGTTAGTAGCAGATTTAATTGAGTTATATAACTAGACAAGTGAGTAAGTAGCCCCTGAGAAACAGTTGCACGTTGTCAAGGAATAGAAAAAGAGAGAATAGCTCAGCTGTACTTGTTTTGTCAACTAGAAGGAGGAGTTGCTCCTAGTGTCATAGTTTTTGTAGTGTTGTCAAGTATTGAAATATTTTTTCGAAGTAAGACATGAACTTTTAAATTTAAAAACTGTTTTCAAAATAAAATACAAACGTCATTGAATCGCATGTGAATATCTTCATTTAAATATTTGTATCATATATAAAAAAGATCATGAAACACTAAGTGATATGTTAAATCCGTTTATTTAAATAGCACTTGGTCATTTTTCGATGCTTTTATTCATTTACTTGACCTCACTTTGTTTTCTGCCAAAGATTCTTTTTATTTGTTACTTATAGAAAAATATTAGACTGTCATCTCGGTGGAGACTATCAAGGCACACGTTACACTGAAAAGGAAAGAACACGACCTTCAAACACAACATCCTATCACTACTACAGTATAAAATGGTATGCAACTTGTTATACGTAACAATCAAGGGAAGGTTCAAATCTGAAAATATTTTCTTAGCTAATGTGCCACTGTACATAAATTTTTTGCTAAAGTCGATTTACAAAACAAAACTAGTAATCCAGAGGAAGACGTTGTTAAATTTTTGTAAGTCCCCTGTGATATATTTTACATTCTTGATATTTACAATGTGTGTAGTAGGGTTTTAGCCGGAAAAGTCTGCAAAATACCCAACGAAAGTCTTGGAAAATACAACAGTAACTTGTTTGAAACTGCGCATGCGCAATAGTCAAGGTCAAAGAGTAAAAACGACGTTCATTGGCTATATTTATATGCTTCGAAGGGTCTTTCGAAATATCAATCACTACAGACAAAATATGGAAGACAACAGGATACTGTACAAATTTGTATAAAATCAGTTGGAATATGCCGTAAATAAAGAATTCGCAACGACAAAATAAGTCCAGTGGTAGTTGAAGGATTAGGGTAGAAACAACATATATTCAAATTGACGAATTATATGTAAAACACACGTAAAAATATAATTTTGTAATAACATTGTGAAGAATGGGGTTAAGTACTGGGTTATGCCCATAAATAAATATAGTACGAACACGTGCAGAGAATGGACAACGTTAAAGTCCCAAGAGGGATTATGGAAAGAAAGACTCATGAAATCTTGAAAAAAAGAATAATTAAGGCGATGAACGAAAGAAACTTAGGGAGAACCAAATGAAATGAAAATCTAATGTGAATGGCATATAAATGAGTTATCGAACAAGGTTGTGAGATGTCTTAAAACCGGTATTAGAAGAAAAAAACTTTAAAAGAAGTTAAAACATTTTTTATTAAATTTTGAATAATTCTTTCTAAAGTATTCATTTACCTTGAAGGCACAACAGGATCAATTTTTTACTTTATTTCTACATACTCCTTTAAAATTTTCTAGTCAGTTTTAGCAGACTTTTCGCAGCTGATACACTTTGGTTTTATCTTAGTCTAAGATATATTATCTATCTTAAAATCCTAAATGATACTAAGCATTTGTTCGATTTATATCAGTGACAATGTTCCGTTACGTCGACCACCACAGACTTTTTCCATCCAAAGAGAAAATATCCCACTCCGGCGCCAAATACTACTGCCAGGCAGAGCCACACGTTGAAAGTCATGAAAATTAACATGAGGAAGTACGACAACACCATTTGGACCATATGTAGGATCGTTTGAAGGGCGTGCATCTTGCTCAACATTGTGGGCCTGCAAAATAAAATAAAATTAGTACACAGTAGAAAAGTAACCTATGAGTGACTAACTAAAATATATACAGGGTAAAATATATAACGTATGGTCCTAAAGTTTTGGGAAAAATTTCAAAAGCATATAACTCTAACTAATAATCTTATATTTTTGTTAAATTATTCAACGATTTAACTTAACTATCCTTATTATAAATCAAAATTTAAATGACAAACAAGGGACCATTATTCACACACCATACCAAAATTTTGTCCTCAAATTTTTTCTTACTTTTGAATTTTATTTCATCAGAGACATTTTCGTAATCGTTCGTGTAAAACCCATCGTTACCCTTCATCTCAGAGTTGGACAAAGTAAAATATTTTTCATCGTCCATCACGATCAACTTGTTGACGAAATGCACTCGCCTTAACGCGCGGCAACATCTCGGAATTCTCTCTAATTGATCCTCTGTGTATTTTGGAGCTTTCCTTCTTTTCCGGTAGATAATATTGTTACTCGATAGGGTCCTGTATAGTGTAGTCTTTCCAACATGAAATCTTCTGGCCAGTTTTCGCTGTGAGCCCCCAATTTTGTTCTTAGCTACTTTTGCTAGTTTTGATCTCGATAAATATTAACAATATCTCGTTTCTACATTCGCCCAACCATATTATAAACACCTCGACGAATATCAATTTTATAAGACATTTTGCAGACCACAAACCAAAATATTCTGCTTTGTTTATTAAATGTCAATAACTGATGACATTTCAATTCCATGGCCTTCTTTGTTAAATGCATTTTGCTTCTCAATCAGACCAGGTGAAATTTTTCCCAAAACTTTAGGACCATACGTTACATCCAAACGATAAAGAAACAGATACCCGGCGATTTTTGTTTAAAAGAGGATACTTTTTGCAGGTATTTTCGACTCAAGCACATTCACCTAGATGCGAGGACAAAAACCTTCCAAAATTTTTAATTATATAGAGTTCCAGAGGTGGAAAAAATGGCGTACCATTTCAAACACCTTGTATTTACAAATCTGACTTTGGCATGGATTCCAAAAAGTAGTACTTACTTTATTTGTACACTAACTTTCAATAGAATTTATTTGCTACTACAAAGCATCAACGTTCAAAATCCTGTATGTGTCAATATTATTACGACAGTTTCTTGAGATTTATTATATAAAAAAGTCCCTTGACGAAAAAGAAACTGTATTAAAAAAATCTAGAATGATTGAGTACTATCGAAAGGTCCCGAAATGTCTGGAACGTCAGAGGTTAATGTGTACATTTTCTAAAAAAGTATTGTAATATTATTGGTGTTTCAATAATGTATTTTAAAGAAGTGTAATATTTGTAGCAACGGTGGGATTGAAGAGATATTTAAACAATTATTAATGTTGAATACAAGATTTACTGAATTTTATAAAGAAATGAATATTGTTTTAAATATCCATTTCTAGAATGGTTTTTAAAAACGGACATGAAAAGGAGAAGCGTAGGTAAGGAGAAAAGCGTAAACAAGAAAAGAAAGATGTGAAGGAGAAGCGTAGATAAGAACATGAAGAGAAAAAGGAAAAGGCACAAACTAGAAGCGTAGGCAGAGAAACAGAGGCGTAGAAAAGTAAATTGGCCTAAATTGTTAGAAAAGCGCGATCCTTGCAAGAAACCGGGATGCCTAGGCGTGACAAAAGTAATATGTGCAATGTAAATTTGTGCGTTACGCTTAATTCTAATTGCTTTGTGGACTTTCATAAAAATTAACTTTTTTTCCCATTGTAACTTGACGAGTCACAAACCCTATTAAAACAAAGGAAATCAAGAATTAAAAAAAAATCTTCAGAAATGTTTTAATTTGTTCCTATCCTGGAATATATAACAGCAGAAATTTTTTTTGCAGTTAAAAAAAATTGAACAGTTCAGGATTAAAAATATAGATTTATTCAAACTTTACGTTAATTGTCAAAACACGAATGTCACTTTATAGTCATCCTACCCTAATTCCAATTTTTTTAGACGATTTTATACATAATGTGTCTGAAATTTTATGCAGAATCTAAAATACAATAATATATAGAGAGTTCCATTAAAAATAACCAAATTCATGACAACTTTCCGATTTAACGGTAGCAATAGTGGAATTGTAAACATTTTAAACGTATATATCAGCAGCAGTCCTGCAAAAAGTGCCAATTATCATACTTCAAATCCCAATATATTCAAAGAATGCCTAATGTACGCTTTACGTGAAACACCCTACATATATTGTAACTTTATATAAAGATTTTAGGCACTAAAAACGATTTTAAAGCAAACTACAATTATATTACGGCAAGCATGCGTTGTGTTATGAGTCTACGTTATCAAAGTAAATAAAGAATATAATTTTTAAAATATTTATTAAAATCCTTCATAAAAGGTATATAATTAAAAAACACAATCGGGCTACATCACAGCAACAAAACGTTTTCGGAATCCATATTCCATCATCAGTGTCTAGGTGTACATGTTTTGAGCCACTAAATATCTGGGTAAAAACCCGTTAAAAGTTATAGGTTTAAATTTATTTTACATTAGAGAGTTATTGCAAAGTTAACAGTGCCTGCTTTGCACTATTTACACCGCGCTATTTCGACAGTTTTGACACATGGCTGACACATCACAAATAGAGATGTTGCTTGAACTTATGCATACTTTGTTGCGTTATTTACGTTGTTTATGTTTTCTTTTCATTTGTTCGCAAATTATTGAAAATTGATCATGATTTAGAAGCACTTATTTTAGCAAATGCTCATGATGATGATGTATTGTTCATCATTTTAAATAACATTGTGGGCGAACATGTATTACATCCACAAAATTAAGAATTATATTTAGAAAACGTGTTGGAAGCAGATGTAAAAATAAATTTTAGGTTTAGCAGACAAGATATTCTTACACTTGCAAGGGCTTTACGCCTACAAGATTTTATTCATACCAATACTAGAAACTCTGTTTCTAGTATTGGTATGAATTCTACATTCTACATTACTTTTGACATTAAGCCCTTATATTTTTGTTTTTAGGAGTGATGAGAATGCTCGCATATCCAAATTATTAATTATATTTTTGCATTATGCTACTCTCTGATGTGCTCATTTTAGAAAATTATTACAAATAAACTTGGTTTAAACGAAAGACAAACAACATACATAACCTGAGAAAGAAAATAGCGCAACGAATACCGCACAGCGTAACGGCTCCCCTAATAACGGCAGGCCGTATTTTCAATAACGCAGCGTAAGCCAAATATCACATCTGCGCATCCTCTACTGTCAAAATAACGCGTGCTGTAATACTGCAAGTGCAAAATTGACTCTGCAATATCTCTCTATTATTCGATCTTATATGTTAACATGACAACGTAAGACTCTACATGAAGTTGCTGGTTCTGCGACAAAGTGTCTACGAGGACTTGATGATAGCAATTGATGTTCAGTTCAGCATCAGCAATAATATTGTCCATTATACGTATTAAAAATCCAAGTGGCTTCGTCATAAGACAACATATGCGAAACAAGTCTCGGTCTTGGTTTTATTTATTTTGTAACAAACTAGCCTTTTATAGCAATGATGATAAAGGTATATCTCATTTATGAAGAGAAAAATACTGGAGGAATATTCAAAGTAGGGCTTGGTCAATAACGAGGCAGATTCAAGACTACCTATACATAACATTATATTCTTTATTCACTTTAATTTATAAAATATTAGTGAACATATTGGATATTCTAACAACTTACGGTTTTTTATGTATAACCCCACCAATCATTCTGTTGAGATGGAACAAAAATGAAAATGAATTATTAGAGCGAACGAGTATATACGTGAATTATTAGCTGCGAGCATGCAAATATTTATCGTTTGATAATTTTCTAATATACTGTGCGACATAAGTTAAGGATAATGCCAATATAATGGTAATGGCACTTCATTCTGCATCAATTATTTGTATGCACATAATTAAAAATTATTATAGTTTAAAAAAAACATGAAAATTTGACCAAAAAACATACTAAGTATTGACAAAGCACCTGTATAGCCATTTGAAAATGACCTTTGTTCACTCAAATGGGATAAACAAATATAATTGTTAAAAAACTACTTGACCGATTGTGCCCATCTTTCGCAAATGTAGTAACTGCATAAAAGCTCACATTATGAAATGCGTTTTAAATGTTTTTATTGTTTATTTTAATAATTATAAACAATTGAAAAGCATGCTTACTTTCGGGTTCAATTTGCAATTACCTTTTTGTTTATAAACATTTTTTATTTAGAAAATCTTATTTTAAACAGAAAGTGTTTTAAAGAAAGTCGTCTGTTTTTATCTAGAATACGTACTTGTATTACAATATTGAAATAAATGAAAAAAGTTCCTTTTTTTTGCTTAAATGTCATGACGTAGAAAAAGTTTCGATAACCACAAGATAATACGCCCTTTCTATTGATTTAACCCAAATATTCCAGTTAAAAAATAGTGCCCAGTAATTTTCCGATTTTTTAAGTTATTTTTCGACTTTGTTTTAGAGGATAATAAACTATAAACAACTTATAAATTTAATTTAATTTAATTTAATTATTTATTCCTCTGAATAAAAAAATAAAATGAGTAATGTCAATTAGTCAAAAAGTGACTTTAATATTTAGCCATATCCCTAACTTATGCTTCACGGTTTATATCAATTATTTTTTTGCCAAATAAATACTTGTGGAATTAATATTTAGATGCAAAAAAACTAACCAAATATCATGAAATTTCCTAGAAGGAGAATTTAAACGAATTTGGTCATGTGAATGTGAATCAGCCACAAATTTATTGTTAGTTTCAACTACATAGGGCACTGAGGATGATCTGATTAGATCGAAAACTTTATGCTACTATATACATTTTGACGACACTTTTTAAAAGTTTTAACTATATGTTTTTTATACCTAAATACAATTGTGAAGTGAAAAACGATGGTCATCAGCAAGCACCAAAACAGAAGGGTGAAGGTCAATATCGACGGAACAGATCTGGAAAGAGTAACAAGAACAACGTACCTTGGAAGTAATCTTAATGAAACTTGGGACCACTCACTAGAGATAAGAATACGCCTGGAAAAGGCACGTACAATGTTTTACAAAATGCAAAAAGTTCTATGCAACCGCCAGCTAGGCATCTCATTGAGAACTAGAATACTTAAGTGCTATGTTTTCTCCACCTTGCTCTATGGTGTTGAAGCCTGGACAATGACAGAAGCAACACAAAAAAGAATCCAAGCATTCGAGCTCTGGTGTTACCGTAAAATGCTCAGAATATCCTACATGAGCCATACGACAAATGCGGAAGTCTTGCGGAGGATGAATAATTAAAGAGAGCTTATGCTTATAATAAAAGAACGGAAAACACAATATTTTGGTCACATCATAAGAAATCAAAAGTATGAACTGGTCCAACTTATAATCGAAGGCAAAGTCAATAGCAAATGAGGACCAGGAAGAAGACGCAACTCTTGGCTTAAAAACCTAAGGCAATGGACGAACATGACCTCCATAGAACTATTCAGGGCTGCTACAAATAAGATTAAATGGGCAAATGTAATGGCCAACGTCCTTAAGGATAAGGCACCGTAAGAAGAAAATGTTATTTTAAACGATGGTATACAGCCAACTACTGGGATTTTCCCATTAATTTTTAACTAATAAATAAATACCAAATGTATACATCTTTTTTATACAGATGCATCAAAAGATCCTTATAGCACAGGTGCGGCTGTTATTGCCCCACTGCAAGTACAACGCCCATTTAAATTGAGTAAGAAAGCGTCCATTTTTACAGCAGAAGCTTTTGCCATTATGAAAGCTATAGATTTTATAAAAGAGAATAATACTCCATAGTTCTTACTGATTCCCTTTCAGTTTTAAATTGTCTACAATCGCATTTGCAAATCAACTCCGCATATATCCATCCTTACATATCCAAAATAAAAACAATGCTCTCGAAAATTCAAGAAACTAAAAAACTGATTTTTATTTGGGTAAAAGCACACTCAGGCATCACATACAATGAACAAGTTGACAAAGCAGCTAAAGAAAGCATACAGTTGGGAGAAGCAGGTACATCCTTATTAACATTGGATGAGAGAATAAATATAACCAAAGATAATTTATATCAAAAATGGTCTAAACAATACAGATATTTCTGTTTAATAAAATGCACAAGATACACATTGTTAGAACCAGAGATTCGAAAAAACTACTGGTTTGCAAATTACAACTATCCGAGATGTTCCATATATATAATAATAATAACCATATTCCCGATGAAGTTCGGACATGCTAGCTATCTTGCCCATTTACACAAAATAAAAATAATTGACAACAATCTTTGTGATATTTGCAAAGAAATGGCAGATTTGGACCACATATTTTTTAATTGTAGCAAGTATACATATCAGTCTGACATCTTTAGAAAAAATCTAAAAAGTTTAAACATTTACGGTCCCTACAATGTCATGAATCTTTTGGTACTAAATGTAAACGCGTTTTAGATTTTATTTCATTATTCATATTTCAGTCTAAAATTAAATTGTAGAATAACTAGTTTAGGCTTGTAACCTTAAATGTCTTTCCTCTTGTTTGCACACCTACCTTACCGTGGTCTTCCCAGTATTTGTTTAAGAAAATGCTCAGAACGACCCCTGGGCGAGAAAAGTGTGACCCTTGTCCTAATCTCAAAATGCTTATTATGATTAATCTTCCCAAAAAAAGAATTGTTGAAAAAAAAGTTTGTTTTAATCCTAAATTGGTCTAAAGAGTCCAAAACTACATAATAAGGGAAGCCCTCAATGTTCCAACCTACGTACCCTTAAGATATATTTATCGGGACACCATCCAGGAAAAAATACTGCGGGAAATGGATGAAAAAGCCTACATGACCTTCCATGGAATAAGGTACCACCCCAACAGAAAGCTGAGAGAGCTAACAGAATATGATGAAAACGTAAGAAGGGTACACAGACGGCCAAAACACCAAATAACTAGATATAGGTTCTTGACTTAGGCTACTTGACCCTTCAGGCTGGCCGATTCGGCGGTCTATTCGCGAAATCTGAGCATTGAGACCATGTGCGGCATACATGGGCTCGATTGACAGACCATTCGGATGCCCAGCTGTCGAGGAGAGCAAAATCTTTTACCAAATCGGTAGCTGAGTGTCCGAACATACAATGCCCGGGCTAAGAGACTCCAACCCAGGTTGGTAGATCTCCGCTCGGGACACACACTATAGGGACCTCAGTCCAGAAGTCATGACTTCAACAAAGTAAATTCAGTAAAGTAAATAGGGAGAAAAGCTGAAAAGCTACCCGTAAAGCAAGGTGGCATCACCACAACCATGTAAAACGGAGGGTGTTTCTTTTCCCAAATCGTCCGACGTAATAGTTCAAGCCTCCCATGCGTATGTCAAACGTAAGGGAGGGGTGGTGGCAAAAACCTGGGAGTCAGATAGGTACCGAGCCAAAATGACACGCTCTTTTGGAACGAGACCGGTCTGATCTTCGGACATGGGAGTTCCACTGTGTAGCAGTTGTACAGTACACTCATGTTTCTAGGGGTTGGTATGAACTCGTGTGTGTGTTTGTGTGTGTGTAATAAATTGGTATGTCAGCCAAAAAATACAAGTTTGCATATAAAACAGTAACTGCATCGGTATGTTAAGTATGTCATGGAGTCAATCCATTATTGTTTTGACTACTTGTTTGTACATATAATAAACCTTCATTAACAATTTAATTATCATATCTGAAATTTATGTACGATAAAAAGATGTAAATACCCGATAGATATCAATATTTAACCAAATTCTTGCGATAAAAATGTTATTATCATGCAATCTGACGCTTTAGTTAATTTTTTTATGAAAGTAAAATATATTTTTTATTATATTTTGACTGAAATTCTGCTAATGTAAAGTATTCGTCAAAATAGATAGTACCAAAAAATTAAAATTTTATTTATGCTATATAAGTAAGCCAAATATGGCAAATTTTTTATTAAAGTCTATTTGTTGGCAACTGACAGCTCATAACAAATGCAAATCTCCCAATAGAGGTTAAGCGTTAAGGCGCGTTTTCACGGGTCGATCTGGGTTGAACGATTTGGATCGTTCGACCATAATTCGATCTGTGCCGAAAGCAAAAAGGTTTACACGACAGTCGATGAATGTTGAATTAATTGTAGTACAAAATGGCGTCACGTGAAATTCTTAATGTAGGTGTGCGATTAGTTTGTTATGCAATTCGAGAAGAAATCGCCAAATCAAACAAAAGAAACAATAAACGAAAGTGGTGGACCCGACCATGGATTTTAAGACGAAATACTCATGGTGTATCACAAAGCCTGCTTCAAGAAATAGTTGTGGAAGATCCAGAGGCTTATAGAAATCATCTAAGAATAGATAGTGCACATTTTAAAGAACTTTTAGAAAAAACTGCTGGGAAAATAAAAAAAAATCGATACAAATATGCGTTAAGCATTACCGACAATGCTGAAATTGCAAATAGCTCTTCGATTTACTGCTACTAGAGACAGCTATGCTTCACTAAAAGCCTTGTATCGGGTACCAAAATGTTCAATATCGCTATTTTTGCCTACTTTTTTTGGACTAGTACAACAAAATGCATGTTGTTTCAAAATAAAAGAAAAAAGAACCGGTACATATAAGTCGTCAGGTCCAGAACCACTCTTTAGTGATTTCAATACTTTGCTTAATTCACGATTGTATGGTGTTCTAATATTTTTGATTTTATTTTTCAAGTCATTTTCAGACATTTTGGGTTTATTCATATGTTGTAAAATTGCTTGCAATGCTGCTCGCCTCGCTTGTAGATTTCGATAAAGCTCGGTTTGTGGATTCCGTAATATATCCTGGTTTTGATAAGCACTCAACCATCTTGCCATGTCTGCATCTGACCAATTTGCAAACTCTAGAAGTACTCTATTCAGCTCTCGGCACGTTGTGTTTTTGTTTGAGGAGGTGTTTACACATTAGATTCCAGTCGTTCGACATAGATTCGGCGACAATTGCCTATCAAAAGTAGACAGTCTTTCTACTTCCGTTGAATCGACACACTCCACCGAACGGCCAAGTCGATTTATGGTTTACATATTCAATTTGCTTTCGATTTAATAATCGATCTAAATCGTTCAATCCAGATCGACCCGTGAAAACGCGCCTTTACCGTGAAGACCTAGGCCAGTCAAATAAAATTGTAATAAATGTAATAAGCAAAGTAATTCGTTTCAGAACGAATCCTCGAAAAAATTGAAGTATCAAAATCAGTATCAAAAGTATCAATTTAAAATAACGGCGTCATTGTTTAAACCTTGATTTTATAGCAAAAATCACTATTTTTTTTTCAACACTTCTTTCCTAATTAAAAGTATTCAGTTTTATTTTCTTGAAACCTCATGAAAAAACGATTCATTTGAAACCTTCTAAATTAAATGGTTGATAATTTATTCAAACAATTGCGAAAAACTGCAAAAACTTAGGTGGAGCAATAAACATAAAAAATAGGCATAAATAATAACTAAAGTTACATAAAAATATCACATCATTAAGGTACACATAAATTTTATTAATAGCTACCCAATGGCAGCCAGTTTAATTTTTGATTGAATAAATCATAGTTTGTTAAAAATATATTGCACTTTTTTAGATTATGTTTAAATCTTCTGAATAACTAATTATAATTATATAGTCGTTTTAATATTATTGAGTCCGGCCCTGATTCCACCGCCATATCGGTATGATCGTTAACCACACCTGACGCCGTTTTTAATATACACGTTAATATGCTCATACATAACTTCTCCATAGATTCTAACTCGTTGATCATATTATGCAATGAATTAATGGGTCCGAACAACTGTAATACAATGAAAGGGATACTTACTGAACTACTTGAGGCTCTTCAGGGGTAGCATTTTTATCCGGAAGCGACACTGCCCTATACTGTAAAGAGTTGTAGGTTTTCCAAAACAAATATTCCCTGGAAATAAGAAAATTGTTATATACAACGTTATATATTGTTATGTAGTTTTCAACAATCAAAGTAATGTATAATCAAATATATCATTTTTTATTTATATAATCTTAATTTATTATGCCTGACACATTATGCCTGTCAGTTGTCACTTTTAGAAACAGCATTTAAAATCCGAGCATTGGATTCTACTCTGTCTGTAGCCTCAATTACATCCAGATGGTTGTACCATAAATAATTTTTTATGTCTGTATTTTAGATGTTTTTTGAAAAGTTTTAAGTTTTGAAAAATGTTCACCAAGAGGATCCCTCGTTAGTAGTATTACTTTATAAATTTTTAACTTAAGTTGAACATGGTACCACTTAAATTAGTTAATTATATTACAGTGCCTGGCCAAATTATTAGACCAAGAAAGGAAACATTTACTATACGAAATTATTTCTCTCATGATTATGAATATATTTGACAAAAATTACTGTTTTTTTCTTTTTTGTGAACATTAACTCTCAGGTAATTAAACTGTACTAAAAAAGTTAATAAAAACTTTTATTTATTAAAAAAGTATAATTTTAACAAAGTAGGGATAAAATTAATATTTTGTAAGTCCGCCTTTGGCTGCTAAAAGAGCTTGAACACATTCGGGCATGGTCTCGATACAAACTTGAAGAGTTTCCTGGAAGTGATGATTACAATTCCACTCACATATGAGCGTTTCAAGTAACCCCCTCTTTATAAGTCATGTTTGTTTTTCGTAATCTCCCTTTTCAGTAGTTTCCACCCATTCTCAATAGCGAATACGATCAGGCGAGTTGTCTAGCCAGTCAAGAACTTTATTTTTTTTTGTTTTAATTAGGTTGAACTACTCTTAGCCTTGTGGCAAGGAGCACCATCATGCATAAATATGGGTTCCTCTTATCCAGGAAACCAGCTGTGGCAAAAGTCTCGTCTCGAGTACTTTCCGGTACTGGTCTTGTCTCATCGTGTTTTCCACCACGTAGAGACGGCCTGTACCTTTGCCGGATACCACAGACCAGACCATAAGTGACGATAGGTGTTTGATGGTGATCACAATGCAGTCGGATTTGCACATCTCGTTGTGACGTTTCCGAACAAACTTTGTTTTTTCTGTCAAAACTTAAAAAACGGATTCATCCGAGAAGCAGACCTCAAATTTTTTAATATTGATATTCAACCAAAATAACACAATATATCTTTTTCCAGTCTTCCGATGTCCAGTTTTTGTATTTTTGTGCCCATTAGAAACTTTTCTTTATCATAGCCGGGGTAAGCCTTGGCTTGTGTCCTAGCTTTTGTTTTCGATAAGTCACCGATAAGTGGACTACAATCCTGCAAATTCTTTTCTTTAGCGTTGGATGAAAGTTGTGACAACACAGAAAATGCGCAGTTAAGCATTTTTGTCCGTTATACCAATGATAATTTTGAAAATGCCGAAGAGCTTCTGGATTTGCGCCAACTAGTCACAACAACAGGAGAGGACATTTTTCAACAGCTTAAAAACGTAATCGAAGTCAACAAAGTTGAATGGTCAAAATTAGATAGTGTTTGTACAGATGGAGCTCCTTGCATAGTTGGTAGACTAAAGGGGTTTGTTACATTACTGAAAAACTATTTGGAAAGAAAAGTTTTTAAGTACCATTTTATTATTCACCAGGAAGCTCTTTGTGCCAAGGACCTAAACGTGTCATCTATTGTTGACCCTGTAACACGCTGCATTAACAAAATACGAGCTCGGGTATTGAATCGACGACAATTTCGAGAACTGTTCGCGGAAGAAACGGAGCAAGATGGAGAGTTACTTCTCCATTGCAGTGTGCGCTGGCTCTCCAAAGGAAATGCAATCGAAAGGTTTTGGAACTTGAAGGAGTGCGTCTTAAAATATTTGCAAGAAAACAATGAACTACCCAGTGAGTGCTCGTTACTTAATGATAAAGATTGGCTTTGGGATTTAGCTTTTCTCACTGATATTATGAGACATTTAAATCTATTAAATTTAAGATTACAGGGAAAAAATTGTATTTTTCCTACTCTAGTTGGTCATATATCTTCTTTTGTGAATAAACTTATGCTTTTTTGTAACGATTTTGGAGAACAGAGATTGACACATTTCACATTAATGCAGGAATTAGCCAACAAGGTCAGTAGAACTCCAAATTATGACAGATTTAAAAAACTTATATCTATTTTGCTAGGTTCATTCAATACCCGGTTTAAAGATTTTCAAAAAGACAAAATGAATGTTGACCTTTTCATAAATCCTTTTTCTATTTCTCTGCAAGATATCAATTGTTACTCAGCTGAAATACAGATCGAAATTATTGATTTACAGAACCACACTATACTAAAAACCAAATATAGGGAAATTATTTCAACTGTTACTGATCCCAATTATATTGAATTTTGGAAATTTGTACCAGCAAACAATTTTCCTAATTTACACGAGTTAGCTCTGAGATATTGTTGTAGATTTGGTTCAACGTACGTTTGTGAGCAAATGTTCTCTATTATGAACATAATAAAATCAAAATATCGGTCACGATTAACTGACATGCATTTAAAAAATCTAATTCTCTTGGCTAGTTCCGAAATTAATCCCTATATAGATGAATTAATTAAAAAAATACAAGTTCAAATACCACATTAAATAAGTAACTGTTTAATAATTTGAATTTTAGATAATAAGAAAATATTTAAGTTTTTTTGTTTAACGTTTTTATTTTATTTTTATTAACAATAAAGTAAGTTTGTTGTTATGTTTTACTTATTACGTTATTTTTTAAACCTCCACTATCTTGACTAAACGGAAAAATGTGGAATTTACATAAGAAATACATATTGTACCGTATATTATTAATATATAGTATCCATATTATGGATACTATATATTGTCGAAAAATTTTAGTGGCACGCCAAATTTTTTTTGTTCTCATATTGGCACTCGACTTAAAAAGGTTGGCCACCCCTGCTTTAAATGATGACGCACGGGTAAAGAACCATTGACTCAACTGTAGGAATTAAACATTTTACACACATAAATTAAATTAAATATTTGAGAAGATTAAAAGGTTATTTCACGAACAGATAAAGTGAGAAATTAAATAATTAGGAGAAACCTGAATATTGAAATCACAGTTAAAGAAAGAGAATAATTTGGCTGGTTAGGGGACAAAAAGAAAAAAAAATAATGGAGAGGAAGAAGACCTAATGCGGTTGGGAAGATATTGAAGCAGAACGACAAAGTATGGCATGAAACGAAAGAAATATCGAAAAACAGGAAGGACTGGAAAACAATGTATACGTAGTTCATATAAATAATTGATACCCTACATCGTAAGGGCCCAAAAGGGAATTTGTTATAGTTTTGCCATTAATTTAAATTACGATAACATTTTACATATCGAAAAACATTGAACTTGCTCCAAATGGTTATCTCACTACTCAATTCTCAAGCGTACTGACCTGAATAAATTAGATATATTAGAATGATATAGCCAATGTAGCGCGAAATAAAATGCCAGAGCGTAAGAGTCTGCACAGTATATTTTAGAAATTGATTGTTTCTTCTGAAAGCAATTTAAAATAATTACATCAATGCACCAGAAATTCTGTACTGTACAATTCGACAGATCGACAGAAATGAATATCGGAAAAAGCTTTAAAATAGTTCATTTTAACGTACAGTTAAATTCAAATTGAGTGGCGGATACTTCCCAGGCCAGATATTACTATTTTATCTATAGTCCAAGAATGGACGATAAAAATACAAAAACTTAAAAAAATATAAAAAGTCAAAACTTCTGAATTTTTTTATATACATCCATTTGCTTGAAACTTTGACAGTCGTTAAAAAATAGTTAAAAAATCAAAATCTACCCTATGGAAATACGAGCCCTAGCAACTAAATGTTCGGACAAAGGAACATTTATTGAAAACGTTTTTCTTCACAACGTTGCTTATTAAACAAAAGAATGAGATCAACAATACATTAAACTCTATCATTATTAACAAAATATTGAAATGGTTAAGTCTTTATCAACTTTGAATTGCAGCGTTGGCAGCAAAATAAACATAAATGTTGTATAACCTCGTGACAACTAAATGTTCGGACAATTCAAGAAATTGCTACTTAAATATGGTGGTTAAAGGCTGGTTATGGACCTCGGGGGTAATATGATATATCTACTCTGTCTATAATAAAACTCTTAGAAATGTCCTCCCGTTTCCCAACGAAAGGGTTGGGGGTTCTGGAAACAGAACTGGGCTCTGCCAGTAAATCCTACTCTCACGTCCTCGAAGACATATATGTCGCGTAACCACCGGGTAAATGGCGTAGAATGGATGTGCATTATATAGCAGCCGTGAGAGGGTGAGAGACGAGTCTCTGGCGCCTTAAAACTGGAATATGTCGTCTAAGGGAAGAAACCCCAACAGAAAATCCTGGTCCTCCAAGTTTGGGGATTGGAGTGATGCGCCAGTCCCTCATTATCCGGAAAAAAAACTCTTTTGACTAAAAATTATAACGCTGAGCCTCAGAATATGGATGTAAACTTACGACGACGACACCTGGAATAGAAAGGGACTTTGAAAAATTTGTACTTGAAACACTCAAGGCATGACTAACAAATCAAATTAGAAATTTTAACTGAAATGACGAAGCAAAAAATGGACATCATAGTGCTCTCTGAAACCAAAAAGAAACACCAAGGAAATGAACAGATTAAAGCCTATATTCAGGACTATGGTCAGGAGACATTGTTCATATTAAGGATTTACATAAGTCAGGGTCGAAACTATCCCATAATTCACCTAATTTCCTCTTCAAATCGGTGACGATTTTCTGGGGATCATAACGCAATTTCTGTTTCATCTTATACCACACTGTATCAATAAAATTCAATATATTGTCCTCCTAGATACTCCATTAACAGATAACAATATAAAGAGTTCATGAACACTTTAGAAAAAAGATACATCATCGGTGGCGACT